GTCTAACAGCGGCCAATCATTCAATGCAACTGGCTATATTAACCATCTGAAAGAGATAAATCATATGACCGTCTCAATAGATTCAAAGAAAGCATGCATCAGAATCTATTATCCATTCTGAGAAAGGTTCTCAGAAAACAAGAAACAGAAAGGAATTTCATAAGCTGATAAAGGACATTAATAAAAAATCTGGAGGGTGAGTGGACGCCGCATTTTTATTGCCCACAGACTAGGCAATTAAAAAAAAAATCTGAAGTTAATGTCACCCTTAATGTGACATGTTTTTCCCTTGTGATCAGAATCAGGTCAGGGTATATGATCTTGCTTCTTGTATTCAACATTGTACTGGTCGGTCTAGCCAGTGCAACAAGGCAAAAAAGGAAACAAAATGCAACTAGGTTAGAAAAAAAGATATAAAACTGTTTATTTGAAGACACGATTGTCTATGTAGAAAATCCAATGCAATCTACCAAAAAATGCTATTACAACTAATAAATGTGTTTATCATGGTTAGAGGCGGCAAGGTCAATAATATGATTCCATTTTATTTCTATATTGTCTTAGTTCATTGGCTACTATAACTAAATATCTTAGACTAGATAGTTTACAAACAACAGAAATTTATTGTTCAGTTCTAGTGGCTGGGGAGTTCAAGACCAAGGTGTTCGCAGACTTGGTGTCTGGTAACAGGTTGCTTCAGAGATGGAATCTTGATGCTGCATTTTCACATGAAAGGGGCAAGCAGACTCCCTCAAGCTTCTTTTATAAGGGCACTAATACCATGCCCATCATGAGGGCAGGGCTGTCATGATCTAATTACCTTCTAAAGGCCCTACCTATTAATACTGTCATGTGAGGATTAAGTTCCAGAATATGAATTTTATGAAGTATATCAAAATTAAGACTGTAGCAGGTATAAATGACAAACTAATTAAAAATTGAAATTAAATATAACACTATTTATAATAGCATCGTTATTAATTACTTAAAATAAATCTGACAGATGTGCAAGACCTATTGTTTTGAGAACCCAGAGCTAAACTGGGGTTGTAGTACCACAGCGGCTTGCAACCCTGACCTTACAACAAATGAAAGTAAACTAGATATGGGTGTTTACAGAGTGCCTTTCATGGGATACTTCTTTTACCTGATGGGCAGCCTAGTTGTCTGACCCACAACCAGGGGGTCCCTCATAGGGGAATTTCGTTTATACTGGCAGACACCACTGTGGCTCTTGTCTGACCCACAACCACTCTATGCCTTTCTGACCACTGATCTGGCACTGGGAGTCCAATCTGTGTTTCTCTGGGGCAAAACTTGGTCTGGGGTAGCCCCTTGTTCTTCAGATGGAAGGCACAAATTCAATACATCACCATAATAAGAAATAAGTTCAAAGATTTTTACTTACAGATCCTGGATAAGTCAGAAAGGCAGTCCTATATCCCCAAGTCTCAGGTAGAAATGAAGAGTCGGGCAAAGGAGGGGGACAAGAAAGGAAGAGAGGCAACTGGCAGTACACATAAGGAAAAGTAGATAGGTCACTTTACATTCCAAGATAAATGCTGGTAAAGCAGGGAGCTCAGTCTGTAGACAGAAGAGATGATAAATTTTAATTAGTGCTCTAAAAGTTATAAAGAACATAGAAATGGGCAGGTGCTACTTAGACAGGGTGGTCTAAGAATGTCTATGTGAATATTTTTGGCCAAAATATAAAGAAGCAGGAAGAGCCGGCCAGAAAAGGGAAAGATAATAATTAAAGGACAGCATTTGGGAACGCCCTGGTTAGGTTGTGGGGCAGGGGGTAGTAGAAAAGGGTCTAGTGTATTCTAAAACCCCAAAGAATGTCAATTTGGCTGGATTATAGGGAGTGCAGAGTAAAGGGAAAGACAGCCTAATGATCACATAAGAGAAGTAGACAGGGGTGAGATCATGCAGGATCATGCAGGAACTGAGATTTTATTCAAAGTGTGCTGGGAAGGCACTTTACAGTTTTGACCAGGCTACAGACATGATTCGTTTTCATTTTTACTCTAGTCACTCTGATGGAGAATCAACTGGAGATATTATCATCTAAATTGTCATAGATGGTCCCCTTCCACAAAAACACATAAAAATGCCAAATACTGTATAACATATTATTTATGTAAGCAAAAAATATATATCATAGAGCTTAAAAAAAGAAAGCAAAGAAGATGTAGAAAGGGGGGTCTCTACCTAGAAATAGGTCCTGGGGGTTGGGATTCCTGCACATAATTTGAATACAAGATTGTGAAATAAAGCTGAGAGTCCATAAAACACAGACCATGTGATCACAGATTTAAAAAACTTCAGGCACAGTGGCTCATGCCTGTAATCTCAGCACGTGGAGGCCCAGTTGGGCAAAATGCTTGAGCTCAGGAGTTCAAGACCAGCCTGGGCAACATGGCAAAACCTCATCTCTACAAAAAATATATATAAAAATTAGCCAGGCATGGTAGTGGGCGCCTATAGCCCCAGCTACTCGGGAGTCTAAGAAGTGGGAGGATCGCTTGAGCCCTGATCTTAGACAAGAGATTGTAGTGAGCCAAGACCATGCCACTGCACTCCAGCCTAGGTGACAGGGTGAGACCCTGTCTTTAAAACAAAAAAACTTAAGACTGTTGCTTTGGAAAAGCCGTAAGGACGCTTGTTATCTATGAGTAATATTACTATTATTATATTTTTATTTATATAATCAAAAAATATATCATAGAACTTAAAACTAAAGACATGTAGAAACAGGGATTCTAACTAAATATAGATCCTAGGGACTGGGATTCATACACATATTTGAAGACATTGTTGAAAAAAAGTTGTGTATAATTTGTATACACATAAAGGCACTTAAAAAACTGACACCTGAGTCCTGTGTCATATATGGGGGTGGGACCCAAGATCCAAATTTACAGTAGCAGCTGAAAAAAATTAGCATAAATCTGTTTTAAAACAAAGTAAAACAACCGAAATTTTAGGACCAAAAAAACCAATCTGTAGAGATACTTTCTCAACCCAGGGAAGAGAAGACTTCTACAGAACAAAGAACTTTGAAGACAAATTTCACTTAACTATTACACATCATTTGAAGAACACGAGGGAGAGCCAACAGAAACAATAAACAGGATTCAGAACCTAGCAAACTGGAAATTTTAACTTTATACAGATGGATTTTATTATATTTTACTGTATGTCACTCTTGCTTTGGTTCTCATTAAGGGCCAATGCAAGACCTTTTAAAATATCTTAATTTACATCTCTATGAAGATTACGGATAATTTTTGAAATTCCCCTAGAGTGAGCTAAAGAACACTTATGCATAAAATTCAACATGGGGCACACACGGTGGTTATTAGATGAATTAGATGGCAGTTGCCTGAAAATGGGAAACAATTAACTAACTACCAGATTGCCACTGATCCCCATCTACTACTTTGGAGCTAGATAATCTATAACTTGAATGTATTTAGTCTATGTTCAGACACTGGGGGGAACTGTCTTCTCCAGTTCTTTTGGATGGCATTTTAATTGTTTAATGCTATGAAAAATGAGTACGCATTTAAAATGAAGCATCTGCAGCATCCCCAAATTTCAGAAACCACTTCAAGTTTAAAAGCTCAGATGTACACAGGAAATTCCAAACATCCTTCACTTTTTGATCACTTACTAATCTTAAGTACACTTCAACTTTTTTCTTGACGTGGTATTTCATTTTGTACTTTATTCCTTTCTTTCATTTTGTTTAAAAATAACACACTAAAGCCAAAAGTATTTAAAAATGTAAGCCAAGATGAGGTGTTTTGTTGTTCTTATTGCAAAAATAGTGAAAGAGAACCATGAAAAGCAGAATAACTACGTCTCTTTTAAATCATCCTGATCTATATGCATTTTGACAACGCTTGCATCTTTTAATCTTTGCAACCCTATTTCAAATGAGAAAATGGGATCTCAGAGAGGTTAGTGTTCAAGGCGGAACCCGAACTACTGTTTTGGGACTCCCTGCAGGATACTAAGAAAATGCTTTCCCATCCCCCAGCGCCGACATTTTACAATGTCTTCTCTGAAAAATAGACTTAAAGGCGAGACATTTATGAAATCCTGGCCGGGCGCGGTGGCTAACGCCAGTAATCCCAGCACTTTGGGAGGCAGAGGCGGGCGAATCTACTGGGGTCAGGAGTGCGAGACCAGCCCGGCTAAACTGGTGAAACCCCGTTTCCACTTAAAATACAAAACTTAGCCAGGCGTGATGGCGCCCGCCTGTAATCCCAGCTACTCGGGAGGCTGAGGCAGGTGAATCACCTGAACCCGGGAGGCGGAAGCTGTGGTGAGCCGAGATAGCGCCATTGCACTCCAGTTCGGGAAACAGGAGCGAAACTGTCTCAAAAAATAATAATAATAATAAACAAAATAAAATCCCTTAGGAGAAAGGTTACATATTAGAATTATTCACAAAGGAAACAACCCACAAGCAAAAGAAATTTTGGAGACGCACCGGCCTGCGAGAGACCTGGTTATGCCTGTTGCTTTCTCGTTCATTATACCCCACCCCTTTTAAATGTTTCTTCATCGTCAAAATCCTAAATCTTATCATTTCCTTGAGTCAATCTGAAGGACGCCTCCAGCGCCGTGCACACTTCCAGCCAAACATACGGATTTCCGGGCAAACTAAGAGTCACAGAGCGCACTGCTCCCGCCTCACAGGTACAGGACCCCAAAGGCACTTTGCTCTCCCGTTTCCGCCACCGACTCGTAGCCCCTTCCCAAATACCTGTTTATCTCCACCCTCTTCCCCATCGCCATTTTCCCCTTTAGCTCCTGAAGCGATTAACCAACAACAATGAGAAACAATGAGAGAGGGAGAGAGAGCGAGCAGAGGCAAGCCAAGGGAAAGCTTTCCTTAGGCAGTTTGTCAGGCACCGCCGAAGGCAGCCTCGAAGGGAGCTGGACCCTGAGGCCAGGAGAGAGAGGGCCTTGTGTTTGGAGCCCGACGCACTGATTGGCTGATTGGCCGCGACCGAGGAAAAACCCGGATGCGCTGGGCAGCGGTGTTGGCAGTCAGGGCTCTGATATTTGGGCACTTTTGGGGGTGCCGGTGTCCCGGGCCGATGGCGCAGGGTTGGGCAGGCTTCTCTGAGGAGGAGCTGAGGAGACTAAAGCAGACTAAAGGTAACAAGATGGGTTTGCAGTGGTTAAACTCTTGGGTCTTAAGGGGAAGGGGCGGGGATGCAGCGTTGGCGAGGGAAGGGGGCGTGGAAGTGGCTAAGTTTGTGTTAGCGGAAGGCGCTAAGTGTGGACTGGATTGAGGAAATTTCAATGGGGGAAGTACTGGGAGCCACGGCGGGAGGGGCAAGCCAGAAGATTGGGATTTTCTCTTAGGAAAGAGGGCCCAGGAATACACTGCATTGATTTGACTCTTTCCTTCTGAAGAGAATGGAACTTGAAAGAGGAAGTGCGCCTATAGCCGTGGTGTCTCCCTTAGGGAGGATTGCTGCACGCATCTGCTGTTGGAAGGTTAGGGTCAGGGTAAAAGAAGGAGGAGCGGCGCACACCATATTAGAATTGTGATAAATGTATAGAAGCAGATTGAAAAAAAAAAATCACAGACCTCTGAATAAAGGCAAAAATTCAGTACTTTTCACAGTTCACCTGGAGTGTTGCATTCACTTCTGGTTGCCAGATGATTGATTTTTGCAGTTCTTTTCAGTTTTTTAGAATCAGCAAACCAAAAGGGTCTTTGAGAGGGTAGATGTGAATACTTGATTTATTTATATACATACAGTCCTACTGACTTTGGTGTAAGCTAATCTTGTGCTTCTCTCTCTGGCTTTATAGAGTAATCATTGAATGGGCTTGTACAGTTGTTGTTGTTGTTGTTTTTGATGAATTGCTGATTGTTTATGGAAGACTTAGTAATACTAGTTGCACCTTGCTTGTGTTTGAAATTTCGCAATGATCTGTATGGTTATCCTGGTAGTGCACACAATTTCTGTGACAAGTTTACATCACTCTTGGTACCTTAATTCAAATACTTCATTTTGAGAGAAAATGAAATAAATCTTTTATTAGTGTTTGTGGGGAAATTGTATGTTGCTCTGGTAGCTTTTGCATTTTTAGCATAGATGTGAGAATAATCTAGGGCAGACAAGTGGGAAAAGAAGTAAATTAGTGCGATAGGGCCATTGTAGATTATATCTACTGGGGACGTTTTGACTGGTCCAGGGGACTTTAAAAACTATCATAAAGGTGATACCACACCATGTGGTTAATTGACTCTGTGTTGCTTGATATACTCAAATTCTTTTACTCTGTGTTTTCACCATCCATTCACTTATTCTGATGTACTGGGTACAAGTGCCCTGGCCTCTGGTCTGACTCCAGTAGTCTCATGAGAAGACAAATCATAATTATGTGATAGTAGATATTACAAGAGCTTGTTTCAGAGACAAGAGGAAACTCACTCTGCTGAGGATTGCATGGAGCTTGGGAAGATTTCACAAAGGTTGTGTGTTAGCAGAGGTGCATTTTCCAGGGTAAAGATGACTTAATATAAAAATCTAAATTAAACAATGTATTCATTATGTAGAAGTCTGTTTTGAAATATCTCTGCAATTGGAGGTAGATGGAGGGTGGTAAGGACCTGAACTTCAAGGCCCACTGTAGAGTGTGGAAACCAAATCACTAGTTTGTGACCACCTCGAGCACGGAAAATATGTTTACATCCTTGTATTCTCATAGCCCAACATAGTGATTGGCATATAGAACTCCCGGCTCTGCCTCTAAATCTTTTCACCTTGGATTCCTTATTTGTAAAATTAGAAGATTTGCTTCTTTAATTTTAAGGCCACTTCTAGCTGTTCTCTGTCCTTAAAAATATATTGAATAATCTGGGAAGATGGAGTTGGTTGCCAGCAAAAATAAGGACAATAGTACTCTGAAGACCTCTGTGTGTGCATTGAGGAACATGGTCAAGAATGTTGTTAATAGTCTTGTTTATAATATTAAGAAGTTGGAAACAACCAAAGTGTTCATTAGTAGGGGAATGGATAAATAAATCGTGGTATACTCATCTGGTAGGCTACTGTACAGCTGGTGGGAATATATTAATATTAACTGTAGCCGCACGCATTAACATGTTTGTTAACACAGTATACTGTATGTAATTACACTTGGCCCTTAAGCAACACAGGTTTGAACTGTGAGGGTTCACTTATACACAAATGTGCATTTAAAAAATGCAGTATTGGGGGGATGCAAAACCTGAGTATATGGAGGGCCAACTTTTAGTATATGTGGTTTTCACAATGCCAACTGTGGGACTTGAGTATGCATAGTTTCTGGTATACCTGAGGATCCTGGAACCAATTATCCTCATATACCAAGGGTCAGCTGTATGTATAATATATACAGTCATGCACTCCATAACAGTATTTCAGTTAGCAGTGGACCACATATACAGTGGCGATCTGATAATATTGTAATACTCTGCTTTTACTGTACTTTTTCCATGTTTAGATACACAAATAACATTATGTTATAATTGCCTGCAGTCTTCAGTGTAGTGACATACTGTACAGGTTTGAAGCTTAGGAGCAAAAGGGTACTATATGGTACTTAGTACCATATAGCCTAAGTATATAGTAGCCTGTGCCATCTAGGTTTGTGTACATACACTCTCTGATGTTTGCACAAGGACAAAATTGCCTAACAACGCATTTGTCAGAATGTATCCCATTGTTAAGTGATGTATCATTGTATATGGTGGGGAGGCAAGGAAATGTGATCAGGGAGGGGCAAATATATAGGGAATTTCAGAGGTATTGATAATTATGAAATCAGGTTAAGGCAAGTTAAGCTAAAGTAACAAATAGCCCTAATATGTCAATTGTTTAAAATAAAGATTTGGTTTTCATTCTAGTTTCATGTTTAATGTGGGTTTGGCAGGTGAGTGTTCCACGGTCACTCCATCTTTTGGTGCTGTCGTGTAGGAGTTCACCATGGTAGGAAGAAAAGAAGATTGAAAATTGAACATTGGCAATTAAATGCTTTCATCAATAAATGACATGTGTCACTCCTGCTTACATTTTATTTACCAAAAGCAAGTAATATAACTTGGGGTACAGGAAATACAATTCTCTTGTGTCTTTTAAAAAGGGGATTATATCTATTCTTAAACAGTAGTTACTTCTACTGCAGTCATATTTTATTTCTTAAACTTACTTTCTTTAAATAATTCATATAGGTTGGAAGAGTGTGTGTGTGTGTGTGTGTATGTATGAGTGTGACACATATATTTGATGTATGATCTATTTCATAATGAAAAATTGGAAGAAAGCAGTACAGCCACATGCTGTCAATTTCTAGTTAAATAAATTATTCAGAAGAGTTATTCCTCTACTGATTTTTTGCCATTACATTATGAATATCTTCTCCCAGTTTTTAACTTGTCATTTCACTTTTATCTTTTTGATAAACAAAATATTTTGTTTTATTTTTTGATACTGGCTCTCACTCTGTTGTCCAGGTTGCAGTGCAGTAGTGTGATCATAGCTGACTATGACCTTGAACTCCTGGCTCAAGCGATCCTCCTGCCTCAGCCTCCCAAGTAACTGGGATTACAGGTGTGTGCCATCACACCAGGCTAATTTTCTTTTTTTTTTTTTTTTTTTTTTTTTTTTTTTGTAGGGATAGGATCTTGCTGTTTTTCCTAAGTTGGTCTCAAACTCCTGGGCTCAAGCAGTTCTCCCCCCTCAGCCTCCCAAAGTGCTGGGATTACAGGCATGAGCCACCATGCCGGGACTTAATTTTAATATATTCAAACATGTCAACCTTTTTAAAATAACCAACATTTTCTGCATTTTAAGAAATCAGTTTCCTACTACAAGATCTATGTTAATCCGTGTTTTCTATTAAGAACTTTTGTTTTATATGATATGAGATATGGCTCTGATTTTATCTTTTCCATAGAGATAACCATTTTCCCCCAGGTCTATTTATTAAATAATTCCACCTTTTGCTGTTGATTTTCATCCTACTTTTGTCATATACCAGTGCTTCATACATGTATGAATCTTTGTTCTGTTGCACTGGTCATTTGTTTATTCCTGTGCCAATACCACACTGTCGTAAAGCCTCATAATATTCCTAGTATCTAGTAGTCTGGTACTGTAGCTCTTCTTTAGAAGAAACCTTGCTATCCTTTTTTTTTTTTTTTTTTTTTTTT